TGGCGGTGGTGGTTAACGTGATTACCTCTCATCCCAGCAGGCCTGGGTCCAATCTCAGTCGCACCGGCATGTTCTGAGGCATAACATATCTGATCCCACCTTCCTTCGGGAAGTAAAGCCGCTGGTCCCCTGAGTTGATGGGTCGATATGTAGGGTCCAGGTGTGGGAGTTGCCTCCCTGGCGTCGGTAGCATTGGAGCTCAGTACACGCTATTTCAAAACTACCCAAATTTGGGTAGAATCCACCCAGATCGGTCAAAACTGAACCTACCCAAAAATGGGTAAACTGTGTTGGGACTGACAAGTTGACAAATGAACAATGTCGATCGGATTCATGTCGATGTTGTTCATTTGTCAACTTGTCACTTCCAACACAGTTTACCCATTTTTGGGTAGGTTCAGTTTTGACCGATCTGGGTGGATTCCACCCAAATTTGGGTAGTTTTGAAATAGCGTGTACGGAAAACAAATATCGCGTCACTTTTCAATAGGTCCTATCTACATTGATCGATTCTCTTCATCGACACTCTCTTTCGTAAATAACTCGGCTTCACAAATGTTTCCTGCCGTCTTCGTCGAATTAAATGCTAGATTGTTGCTTCTTCCATCGAAAATATCCGGCCGTGGCGATTCAAAGTTGATCAAGGTTGATCGAAATAATTTGTACCCCTGATTCCAGTTTGATTACATGAGCATTTTGTGTGGTCCTTGGTTCTGAATATGGACAAACAGGCAGATGAATTCTATTCCTACTCTTTACTGTAATAAGCTTGGTGGCCCTGAAAAGCGCCGTTTTGTTGTCAAAGTTGGTGATGATTTAACCTCCGAAACCAAACAGAGTGCGTCCCTGTCACTTCAAAACGTAGATGACATGCATGGCCGCTTTCGCTTGTTATCGATGCGTAGCCATATTTCTGATCGATTGGTGATAAAATTACTGAAATTGGACCAGGGGCAGCTGAGTTATTAACGTTCAAAATCTTTCTTAATTTGTTACATGTTCCATTTTCGGTTTTCACAAAGTGTACCCCCATATAGAAATCAAAGACGTAGTCCTACGTCGAAATTGCAGAACTTCAGGGAAGTTCGGCAATTTAAAAAAAATGTTTACACGATTTCAGGAAAATTTGTAGATTCTGAGAGAGACATTTAAAACTTCAAGGAAGCTCAAATATTTTCAGATAAATTTTGACAACGTTAGGTAATATTCAAGGAAATTTTCAAATCTTCAGGGTAACCCGAGAGGAATTAACAAAACATCAGAGAAGTTTGCAGATCTACTGAGAAATTTATTGAGCCTCAAGTTTTTTTAAATGTAGATTTTGGGAATAGAGCTACGGAGCTTAAGACAACTTTACAGAACAGGAATGCTGCAGGAATTTGACAGAAAGTTTCACACAAATGTGAGATCTTCAGAAAAATTCGTTAAATGTCAGAAAAGCACCTCAATTCCAAAATCAAATCGCAGCGAAGTACAAAAGTACAATATGGAAGTCGGAAATAGATAGATCTAAAGAACTTCAGAGTAGTCCGTAGACCTTAAGAGAAGTCTGTAGAACGTCAGAAAGTTTGTACGTTTTTAGAAAAATTTGCAATACTTCAGCAAAACTAACAGATCTTCGGGAAAGTTCGCCGATATTTAGATCAAGAATTCACAAAGAAATTTAAAGAACTTTAGAAAAGTTCGGAGATCTACTGTGAAATTTATTGAACTTCAGCGCAGTTCGTAGATCTTTAGAGCAGAAATGCAGTACTTTAGAAAACATTACAGAATTTGAAATAAATTTTAGGAACTTCAGAAAAGTTCAGAGGGTAGATCGTAAATCTACTAAAAAATTAGCAGATGTTTAAATAAATTTTCAGAATTTTACTGCGGTTCTTGGATTTTGAGAGACATTCACAGAACTTCAGGTATGTTCGCTGATCTTTAGAGATATTTGCACAGCTTGAGAAAAATTAGAAAAACTTCAGAATACTTCCTAAAACTTCCGGAAAGCTCAAAAATTTCTAGATAATCTTTTAATTCTTTAGAAAATTGTATAGATGTTCAGAGATATTTGCAGATATTCATTGAATCATGAAAATCTGCAGAAAAAATTGCAGAACTTTCGAGAAGTTTGTAGATTATTAGAAATTTTGTGAACATCAGAGATAATTGTCGATCTTCAAGGATCTTAAATCTTCAGGGATTCAGAAACTTTGTAGATTCTTAGGAAAATTTGCAGAACTTCTGAAGAACACACCGAACTTCAAAGAAATCTGTAGAACTACCGAGAAATTTTCAGATCATCAGGAAAGATTGTTGATCTTTAAAGAAATTTTACCGGAGAACAGAAACAAAACTTTAGGGACGTCAAAAGGTTTGAAGACCTTGCAGAATTGCGTTGTTAACAGAAATTTTCAGAACTCAAGGAATCATGAAGATCTAGTGAGAACTTTTCCCACTAGCTTGTCTCAAGTTGGTATCGACATCCTAGCGAAGTTTTGAAATCCATTTTCATCTTCATATCGCAGCTCTTGAAGGACAAGATGAGCCAGATCCCTGCCGGTGTTCCTCCTGAGCAACCATTTCCTACTCCACAAAGTTCACCTTCTCCTTCTCATTTTATTTAAAATAATAAAAGCAAATACGTCTGCCGAAACTAGAGCAATTTTCCGGTAATCCATGATGGAAGTATTTACTTTTGGTTCCTGATACAGTTTTGTTTTGAAATCTAAATTGACAGTTCTTTCGACATGTGCAAGCAGTGTGAACACCAGCAAACAGGGGGGGCTCGACAAAGAGTGTCGAAAGTAAATTCGAGTAGATTTTTCATTATGGCGGCGGTCAAAATCAGATAGTCTAAACGGACCTTAAGAGATTGTAGACATGTGAAACCATGATTTATTCTGTCTTGATCTTCCAAACAAAGTTGGACTCAAACATATTATTAAAATGATATTTTTTTTTTGACAGCATATTGTAATCAAATTTTGATATATCGTTTTATCGAATAGTATAGACAGGTTTCTTACTTATATTTATTTTCTTGAATTAAAAAAATACTACACAAATACCAAAAAAGAATGTAATATTGATTGACGTAATGCATGCTACTGTATGAATAACTAATGTGATTGCAAAAACCAAATACAATATTACACCCATGGATATAATTTCTTTTCGCAAATTATGTGTAGGATAAATGCACCAATAGTGGAGGTACTTTAGTGCAATGTGTTCCTATGGTGGCTTATAGAGTCTTCCTAAGCCGCTGTAGAAGTACATTGTACTAACGTACCTCCACTATTGGTGCATTTACTAAACATAAATTGTACAAATTAATATTAAACAACCTATGTGCATCTGTTCTGCTGTAATATTCAATAACTTTTTTGCTGAGCCGACTTACAAGTACCAACGCCCAAGTTTGAACAATCGAAAATAACATAAATCAATAAGTACGTAAAAGGGATTCCAGATGGATAAATAGAAAAAAAAATAATGTTCATAATTTGTATGTACCTGGAATTTCTTTCATCCGACCTGGAAAAACCTGGAAAACTCAGGGAATTTGATTCCTTGGATTGAGTAGACTCCCTGGTTAATCGATTTGCTTGGGACAAATAGGCAAGTCAAGTAGTGAGCCAATTTAAAATCGTTAGTTTCCACCGGTTAGTACTACCATAGAGGAAACTCTAAGACAAGTAGGTCCCGAAGAAACGTGCTCAACTTTTTGGCTCACCTCTGGTACTATCTTCGGTCCCAAGCTTGTCGAATCACCCCTCGAAACATAGGAAAAACCAATAACCCCTCATTTTATCTGTCAAACTTTCATAGCGAATCAAAACAAACATTGCATAGTACTAGAATTTCGACTAGAATAGGGTACGTTAATCGTTTGCTTGGGACCAATAGGCTACTAAAGTGGTGAGCCAATTTAAAATCGTTAGTTTCGTATTGATTGTTGGTACTACCAACTACGATACTTTTAAATTTACCGTTTAATGCTTGTTCGATGAACAACTTGCGAGTGATATGTCTGTTTGTCTGTGGTGTGCTACTAGAATGTCGACTAGAACTTTCCTTCAAAATGGATAATTTTTTACTCATTAATGGGTACTTTCAAGTTAGCGTGTGGATCGCTTTCTCAAAGATTCGTTGGAAAACAGTGTGCGAAGCAAATAGGAGAACGACACAGTCTTTGTCGAGTGTTGTGCGATGACAAAGTTGTTTTGCAAAAAATGCTCTGAGGCGCTTTCCAGTAAAAATTAGAAATAGGTACTAGAAGGAGAGATGAGCGGAGAGAATGTTTTGAGCCAAATGAACTGTCAAAATCTGAGCCAAACGAACATTCCCATTAGATTTTTTCCGAGGATTTCTTATTCTTACTAGATTAAATTTGAGAGTATTGCAATCGAACAGAAATTCAATCACCGTTATGTTTCGTGTGTAACAACCTATGCTACAGATTAGATACATTCAAATTATACATCGTTGTAATAAATAATATAAAAATAATTCTCTCCTTTTATATCGAATTATGCGTCGGCCGACAGAGTTCAAATTTAGCGTAGCTTTTATAATTTTGAGTGCTTACAACACAACTTTGCTATTCCACGGCAAAGATGCAGCAAAGGCCAATTACTCTTTTTTTTGTCTGTATCATTTTTATGATTGATCGTCATGTTTTCGTCATTGTTGTTTTTTGCTGCAAAGATAATTTAGCTGTATAAAAAAACATGCCTAGTAATCCTCTTCAGCCGATTCACTCTCAACGAAACATCATTCCTTAAGTCAAGGTTTCGTTGAGAGTGAATCGACTACCCATCAAATCCACATGCACACTAACTTTTGATTCAATTAAATAACCCGAAGTTATATCAATTTTCCATATTAAACAGGGAGAAAACTGAATAAATGAAACACCAATAACGGAAGGAAGGTTCAAAACGATCACGATGCATTCCCTAAATATATAGATAGAGAGAGACAGCAAAGTTCAAACCGAAAACACTTACCTGGTGATGGCCTTGGTTCGCACCGGGTGGTTGAACAGTTGCTCAAAGTACGCCCCTAGCAGACTGTAGAACGGTTTCGATAGTGACATCTTGCTTGGCTGCACTTCCTAAGATGCTCAATTCCTTCGGTGGTGATTCGCCCCGGGTTCCGAGTCACGCACGCACGCAGGTACACGCGTGTATGGATGCGGGAGGAGAGATGTGGCACGCGAGGATAGCACAATGATAGCAATAACGGAGAGATAGTAGTTTTAGTTTCAATGTTAGTTGCCTCTCTTCCTCGAGTCGGAATTAGTCTGGTGGACACTCGATGGTAGTTATAAGAAGTAGGGAAGGAACGCGTAGAACTGATTCGGTCACACTTGGCCACAGACAGACGGAGGCAGAGTGCCGTTGATGAACTGCACTTGAGAGGGTATAATGAGCCAATTACCTAATTAAAAATGTCCGCTTAGTAAGTCGCTTATCTTCCCTGAGCTTAGCTTGAATGTGTTGTGGAGGTATAAGTATGTACGACGGGGCATTTGTTATTTTTTTGCGATTCGACCGGCGGTGGTGGTCGTCGTCGTTGTCGTCGCGCGAGACGGTATTTGTGTTATTGAAGAATGACACCACCAGGGTAAAAGAAAAGCAGAGAAAAAGGCACAATGTAAGCACTCATGATAACGCATAATCCGATACGGACTGATAACAGTGTAAACAGCGAATGCAGCCTCAGTTTCTACACTGGCACTTCTTCACTAGCTTGCTCAATGAACCTATTTCAGTAGAAGGCGATTCATGACCGTAGGAAGTTGTCCCCTGATCTCTCAGAGACCAGTGCTCCCTTAACCCGTTGAACTTTTGAGCTTACCTTCGCTAAATATGCAACGGAAAATGCAATACTTACTGGCCGCTAGAAAAAAGCTAGAGCCTCTCGCCGCTCGGTACTTACTAAACGTGAGTGTGATTGACCTAAAACCTAGTTACTATAACTGTTAATGAGATTTTTCTGCCTATTTGCCTAGTTCCAGCAGTACTGCGTCAAAATGCGTGAGGAATGTTCGTATATTGGTCGCAGTTGACAGCCAGGTGAAAAACTCGAGCTACAAAACGTCTTGATGGTTGTATCGCTGACGTCGTCGAGTTTACTTGTGTCGGTGAATGTTTATGATATCGTCGATGTGGCCCCTACCTGCCAGCTACGGAGTGGCACGCCACTGTTTTGCCTGGGATGGGTTTGGGCGGCAGCAATTTACCGATTCGAGATGGTGTACCACCAGGGGGTTTCGAATCATGCTTCGGTAAGGAATGTCAGATATACAGACCCAGGTAACCAAGAAGCATTAAAAACAGCACATTGTGCAGCAGAAAATGACACTTTTGGTAAAAAATTTAATACACGGCTGCTTTACTGCTAGGCCCCACAAATTGACAGCGCTATTGGTAGAACTGATTTGCAATTATTGTACATTTTAATTGTTGATTTACAACAGATTTGCATTTAAATTCTTACATACATCAACTAGCATCTACAATGCAAATATGAGGTTGATATACTGCAAATTCTAATGCTTAGTGGTTAGCTGGGAATATTTGATCATTCATACAGACTTCACACAGAGTACAGACATTACACTCAATTGAAGGGGTTAGAAGGAAAGGGGTGTAAGTGACATTGATCGATTCTCTGCGGACGTTGATAATATCGGAGAAGAATTTCCCGTCGATTAGAACGTGATCGATTTGGTTTTCTGTGTGTTGGTCAGGTGATCTCCAGGTGGTTTTGTGGATATCCTTGCGGGGGAAAAAGGTACTTCGAACAACCATTCCTCGAAAGGCTGCAAAGTTCACGCATCGTTGGCCGTTGTCGTTCGATACGGCATGCAGGCTGTTTGGTCCGATTGACGATTTTGAAGTCCCGTTGCGAACAGCCGTCGTACACCTGCTCCAGCTGCGCATAGAATGCTTCTTTCTCGTCGTCGGGTCTCCCTTCGTTGATGATATCCATTGTCATTGAAAAATAGTTTCAGTAATGAGTCAGTTTAAAGCATTTATTTCAAGCTGACTTTCTCTTTCGTCGGCAACTTGAGCATGCAGGGTGTTCGATTCCTTAGTGCAAATAATTTAAGGTGATACTTGCCGGCGCCGGTGGTGTAGTGGAAAGCGTGACTGCTTTCTAACACTCCAAAAGGGTCTGGGTTCAATCCCAGCCGAGGTCGGTGGGATTTTTCTGAGGCATAAAAATCTCTGGTCACGTCTTCCTTCGGAAGGGAAGTAAAGCCGTTGGTCCCGGCCCATGTGTGTTGAATGGGTGCGATATCCTACGCAGGTGTGGTAGCTGCCTTCCTGCACATTCGATTGCCGTCAATGGATGGCAATCGATGTCCGTCGGTGATTGGCACTAGATTGCGGAACAGAGACCGACGTTAAAATAAAGGAAAGAAGAAGAAGAAGGTGATACTCTAAGGAAGCCTTAGCGTGAAACTTACAAATTTGAAATTGCTACTCTCTGTTTGTAGTAGCACAGTACAGAATGGGGTACGTTAATCGATTTGCTTGGGACCAATAGACTAGTCTAAAGAGCCTGAGTTCATAAAGAGACGACATCTTATCTATTTGACAGGTCTTCTGCTCGATTGGAATAACTTTTACTATGACTTTGACAGACAATCGATTGTTCCAATTTTGACATGTCGCCTCTTTATAAATTTAGGCTCTTTAGGCTAGTCAAGTAGTGAGCCAATTTAAGATCGTTAGTTTCCACCGGTTGGTACTAGAGCTGAGCCAAAAAGTTGAGCACGTTTCATCGTAACCTGCTGGTCTTAGAGTTACCTCTATGGCTAAACGATGCACCCCTCGAAATATAGGAAAATCCACGAACCCCTCATTTTATCTGTCAAACTTTCATAGCGAATCAAAACAAACATAGTGTAGTACTAGAATTTCGACTGAAATGGGGCACGTTAATCGATTTGCTTGGGAAAAATAGGCTAGTTTCCACCGGTTGCTATCACCCTTCACGCTCACTCGATTCTACTCATTCTTTATTCCACATCAACTCTATCTCCTACAGATCTTACATCCCGTAACGTACCACGAAAATGTGGTCTACCTTCAGTTGATTAAAGTTTTCCATAAGGTCCTTTGGATATTTTTTCAAGATTCCTGGTTTACCAGATATTGTTATGAAGATTTCCAACTGCCGAATGATTAATGTCACGTCTTTCAGATATTTTTTTATCGACCAAGAATGATTCCAAAGGCCTCTTTTGGATCAAAGATCTCCACAAAGCGAGCCATAAAGTCCTTTGGATATTTTTCAAGACTTCAGGTTGATCAGTTATTGTTCTGAAGTTCTTCAACTGTCCAACAATTTAAGTCACGTTTCTCAGATATATATTTTTTAAATATAAGTTTTATCAGGAAATATTTCAAAGAACTTCAGTAGATTCAAGGTCTCCATAAAGTCCTTTAAATATGTATTCGAGACTTCAGGTTGGTCACGTATTATTCTGAAGATCATCAGCTGTCCAACAATCCAAGGCACGTCTCTCAGATTTATAGATAGCAGACTGATGCCCTGCTAACGTTATGCTTGTAAGCTTTTTTGGCTAGCAGCTGGATCATTAGCGCTAGTCAAATAGCATAAGTATAAACACCCCATAAACCAAGTATCCACATAGTCACCACATTTTGAACTTATCAGTGATGCTAGTTCTATTTCAGGTCAATTTAGTATATGTCAGCTTTTGAAAATGAGTAAAGGCACATCTGACGAATACAAAGGGGTGGTCACTCTACACACTTATTTTGTGCCTAGTATTTTCTCAGAGTTCCACAGCTGTGCCGGCAATGCCGAGAATGCCAGTCATCAGACTGACTTTGTTTGCTTGTGAGTAGTGGCGTTCTTGGCAACCCGGTTAATCTGACAGTTCAAATGTTTTGTTTTGAAGGCGAAGAAACAACACTACAAGCAATGGAATCCTATTGAAGACGAGATCCAAGACGATGATCCAGAGGCACCCCAGTTGGGAAAGCTGATACCGGACAAACTGGCCCGACCGGAGGATCGAGTCCCTGTGCTGCTGTCTCAACGATACCTGACAGCGAACCGGGACAATGTGGATACTTGGTTTATGGGGTGTATACACTTATGCTATTTCACTAGCGCTAATGATCCAGCTGCTAGCCAAAAAAGCTCACAAGCATAACGTAAACAGGGCATCAGCCTGCTATCTATAAATCTGAGAAACGTGCCTTGGATTGTTGGACAGCTGATGATCTTCAGAATAATACGTGACCAACCTGAAGTCTCGAACACATATTTAAAGGACTTTATGGAGACCTTGAATCTACTGAAGTTCTTTGAAATATTTCCTGATAAACCTTATATTTAAAACCCGAATTTATCCACCTATGGTGTGATCAGACCCTTCTTACTTATTCAAGTTTATTTATTTTATTGTCATTATCAGTGACCAAGCCCCCCACCCCCGTGTCATCTAGTGACGCTACGCCACTGCCTGGGGGTACCCGGAATATATCCGGGTGTAGTCTATTTGGTGAGGCTACCAATCACCTTATCATCGTATTTTAATGGGATTTAATGGGTTTTAATTCAATTCATATTCTAGCAAGTTCCCCGGGGTACCCGGAACATGTCCAAGTGTGTCCAATGTGGTCTGGAACACTTAACACGACTTGCATTGATCTTATTTTTGAATTCTGTAGTAATTTGATGTGTCGCATGATGGTTTTAATACGTTTTCCGTTAAATCCAGCGTGAAGGCCCATATTCACCGGATCTTATTCCGGCCATATCTCCGGAACCGGTTCCACCGTTCAATAGCGTTCAATAGCGTTCAATGGGACCCCAAGACCTATCATTTGGCGCCGAGTTTGTCCAAATCGGTTGAGCGGTTGCTGAGAAACGTGAGCGCATTCATTTCGTTACATACACACACACATACACACATACACACGTACACACACACACACACACACACACACACACACACACACACACACACACACACACACACACACACACACACACACACACACACACACACACACACACACACACACACACACACACACACACACACACAGACATGTTCCGATCTCGTCGAGCTGAGTCGAATGGTACATGACACTCGGCCCTCCGGGCCTCGGATCTATGGTCGGTTTTTCAAGTGATATCTATACCCTTCTTTTTAAGAAGGGTAAAAAGAGGTTGTTGTAGAACCCACCCTCAGTGATCCCCGTTGGCTAGACCAGGGATCGAGGGCTTAGCGAAGTGGTCCGTCTGACCGCTTTTAACATAATATAACCCATAATATTCGCCTAAAACATTGAGTAGGCCCCATGAATCAAAAGCAAAACTGTTCAACAAATTCCCTTGCACAACCACCGATTTCAATTTTAAGAAACACGTTTTGTTTGAGAGCAGTCTGTTCACTCGACTGCAGTATGAACAAAAGAATCATCACTGTGTGTGTGTATGGCATTAATTTCGTGTTCACCCTTTAACCAACAATCAATACGAAACTAACGATTTTTAATTGGCTCACTACTTTACTAGCCTATTGGTCCCAAGCAAATCGACTAACGTACCTCATTCTAGTATAAATTCCAGTACTACACTATCTTTGTTTTGATTCGCTATGAAAGTTTGACAGATAAAATGAGAGGTTAGTGGATTTTCCTATGTTTCGAGGGGTGCATCGATTAGCTTGGGACCGAAGATAGTACCAGAGCTGAGCCAAAAAGTTGAGCACGTTTCTTCGGGACCTTCTTGCCTTATAGTTACCTATATGCTTTAACCATAGACGTAACTCTAAAGGCCGGCGCACAATAGATACGTTTTCGGGTTTTTTGACAGATAATGCAAAGAGCTTTTTGACGTTTAATCGGCGCATACTACTGCACCATTTAAAGCGAACGAGTGCGAGCAAGAGGGAAACAGATTAGTTTGAAAACAAACCGTGCATTCATCCATGTGTGCTAGATAGAGAAAGACGATTAAACGTCAAAAAGGTCTATGGGCTAACTGTCAAAAAACCTGAAAAC